ATAGCGGCTCACAGAACGGCTCTGAGTTTTTATGTGTTTTTCAAGTACAAACTTTTAGCTAATAGCTCCATCATCTCTTGACCAATTTGAGATCTAATTACAATTTTGGGCTCTGAGTTTTTATGTGTTTTTCAAGTACAAACTTTTAGCTAATAGCTCCATCATCTCTTGACCAATTTGAGATCTAATTACAATTTTGGACTCAGGAGGCCAAAACCTTTTGCCTGATTGATGTATATGACCACTCCCAAGGACTCATAGATTAATTTACTTTAATCCTGACTGAATGAATTTCATTTTGAGGGTAGGCTGGTAGAGATCCTGATGAGTGATGAAATTGAATCAAGTAGATGTGTGTCCTACGTTTGGTATTGTTGGTGCACAAAAATATAGCTAATAAAAAGGAAAAAAAGGTCTCATAGATTAATCTATATACTACTAAAACTTTGAGATTGTTTGTTTGTGGGCTTGTCTGTAATTAAATACAGCAAAAACAGTGCACAATACCACCATATTTGTAATGAAATGAGAACAGAAACAGAATAAAACAAGTTTCGTTAAAATCAGGCCACGGGTTACCGAGTTAGCTCCGTTTTTCGGGTCACTTTTTGTACATTCCATTATTATAAAACTTCGTTTATACAACAATATATGCACAACAGAAATTAAACGATGAGATGAAAATGTGTTATAACGGCGCGTAGAAAGAACAGCAATAAAATGGACGTACAATATTATTGACTATTTGCAAATAGTAACTATGGAGACGAGGTAATAAAATAAAAATCAAGTCGAGAACAACAACAAAATTTTATAAACGAAAACCTCTCGCTGAGCATTGGCTATTATATTATTTCCCTGTCAATGTTCACATCTTCATTAAAAGGCGTAAGATGACAACAATCAAATATCTTTTCTTGAATTATGAATAACATGAATGGATTGAAATATTTAATTAAATTACCTCAAAATAAACCTTCATTTCGATGCAATATTGAAATTAGCTTGAATTCTTCATAACCTCTGAATAGTGGTTGACCCAATGGGTCATGGTGGTCTAGTTTACTCTAATCCTAAAAGAATTTCAAGAGCCACGGCTACTTGAGGATTCCCTCCTGTTTTTGAATGACTGTTTTGCATCATTAGCTCAGAGTTTGTCTTTAGGACCAACATAAATCTGACCAAACCTCGTGAGATATTATTGGGTTTATGGACAACAATATGGTTAACAGTGAGAGTGCCCAACTGATGAAACAATGAATTCTAATCCTTATAAGTAGAAACATATTAATTATCGATATTGATGGACAGGTATATTGTTCCCCAAGTATGTTGCTATATATTAATTCATGCTATGGGATAACACAATACTGTTGCAAACCCTTATTAGTTAGGATTTATGTAAACCATAAAATAATTTTGAAATGGCAAATGTTGGAAACTATAAAAATAGTTGGAATATGGATATTCTATATATTTTAGTTAATAACATCGCAACTTCATTACAAGATACTTTTTGTCGGTCATATCCTTTATGAAAATGTTGAGGAATAGTAATCAGCTTACATGCAATTAATTAAAAGATATGAATTGAAATGTCACAATAGCTAAAAACAAAACCTTACAATAAACATTTCATATTGTAAATATTATGCTTGATATCACTTCCTGAGAAACAGAAACCTTAAGGTTATATTTAAGAATTTAATATAATAAGGTTAAAAATGAATTGTTTACACATAATCTTTACCTTGTATCATAGTTTAAAATATTTGTTTAAGACTTATAACACAATTTATAATTGATCTTGGAAATAATAATTTTGTTTTTGAAAGTCCTAAAATGCCCATAATATAGCTTCAAACATTAATTTATTAATTGCTACAAGATTACAAATAAACGTACTGGAGGATGAAAAACAGTACAAGGAAATTAAACCAGACAGCTGGGGTGTATTCTAGATAAATACATAACACAACAAACACCAACTGGCCAAAATACATTTTAAAGTATTGTGAAAAAACAACAAACAAACCAATAAAAACAAGACTGATTTCTATAATATAGTTTCTTACTTACCAGCTGTATATTACATTCAACACATCCTGCTAGGATTACTTCAGGAAAAGAACATTTATCAGATATGCTCATCATTGAACTAACTAATTAATGAATATTTCATTTTGTATAATAATAATAACCATTTACGATATTTCATAGATGTACATTATAAATTTACAGAAAAATTTTGATCTATTTTCCCAATCTAACACCTTGACTTAATACTCAAACCTACCACCCCCCTCATCTTCTAGTGCACCTACCATTTGTATGCTAGTGCCACCTACCATAATTAATTAATTACCTTCTTATTTCCACTGATTTTAACTTATCACTTTATCTACAGAAAAAGGAGACTAAGTTTCTCCAAAATGTAGATTAATGTTTTTCTTTCAAAATTATTTTTGTATTTGTTTAAATGCCACAAACATTTTATGGCTAGTTTGTGTTTTTTATTTGTCCCAGACTCACCAGCTTTCTGGTTTAATTTCCACTCACTCATATTTGTGTTTTTTAATAAGTGAGTGATTTTTGTAGTAATATACTGACAAGTTTTCTAAAAATTGTTTTGTTCCAAGATTAGAAATACCTGCATATCAAAAGAAATCAAATTTAACACTTGTACTTGCAGTCTTATATTTGTTAAAAACTTTAAACACGGGTGACGGAATCATCAAATGTTTAATCTAGCTTGATGCAGAGAAAAGAACATTCATGTTATTGAAATATATCTTGATATCAACAAAAAACTAAAGCTTAACTTTTTCTATACACTAAAAATAAATTATTTTATTCCCAACTATATCCTAATCACTGAAATTATCATGTTAAGAAAAAAAATAACTATACATCTTCACTCGGTTAGTAACTGAAATATTCCGTACATCAGCAAGATGTAAGTATATTCATTACTGAAATATTCTGTACATCAGGAAGATGTAAATACATCAGGAAGATGTACGTACATTCATTGCTGAAATATTCCATACATCAGGAAGATGTACGTACATTCATTGCTGAAATATTCTGTACATCAGGAAGATGTAAGTACATTCATTACTGAAATATTCTATACATCAGGAAGATGTACGTACATTCATTACTGAAATATTCTGTACATCGGGAAGATGTAAGTACATTCATTACTAAAATATTCCATACATCAGGAAGATGTATGTACATTCATTGCTGAAATATTCCGTACATCAGGAAGATATATGTACGTTTATTCCTGAAATATTCCATACATCAGGAAGATATATGTACGTTTATTGCTGAAATATTCCATACATCAGGAAGATGTAAATACGTTTATTGCTGAAATATTCCATACATCAGGAAGATGTAAATACATTCTTTATGGTTTTTCATTCAGCAAAAACAAATGTAAAACTTTGCTAATTTTGATAAAAGAACAAAAATATGTGTTATAGACCAGTTATAAAATCATTCTCATTGTAAGAAATGTTACCGATTTTGAAAATATCACATCATTCAAAAGCTCCCAAAATCATAATTAAAGTTAAGATTTCTAACCATAAATATTTTCAATAAACATACTATCATAATGATACCATTTACTATGATGCTTCAACTCTAGGTTGACAGCAATGTCGTTGTAAAATATATTTCACATAAATTTACTGTTTCAAGTTAAGTCAGCTCTACTACGATGCTTCAACTATAGGTTGACAGCAGTGTCGTTGTAAAATGTATTTCACATCATTTCAGTTACCTTAAAGAGATCATTTCTAGAGTTTGTTTTTCATGAGAAACAATTATTGGTTTTGTAATTTACACTAATATTCACAGTTTTGTAATTAATCAATTTAGTATAATTACAACACACACAATTTAAAAATTAAGTAGTCTGTTTAAACCATCTATTACTAAGTTGAAAAAACTACTACTTTAGCAAACAATTCATTCATATCACAGTCGTAAAGTTCAACAATTAATTATACAAATATAACATGGGATGTCCCATATCCTTAAAATGTTTTAAATCAAACATTAATAATTTTACTTTCATAGAATATAGCAGGAATTTTTATATAGTCCCTCAGCAGTCGATTTATGTTGGCAGAAATGTTTATAGGAATCCAGATATAAATTTATGAATTATTAACAATTCCTAAAAACATCTCTACTAATATTGCACAATGTCATATAAAATTTGATATTTCAAAAACAAAATGGATTAGATAGCTCTCCAATTGATAAAATTATATTAGCAGGGTACTTCTCTCTCTTGTGTAACTACTGACAACAAAATGTATCCGGGTTACATATCAAGATTTACCTATTACCAATGAACTTCGTATTGTTTAATACATTCACGATCTGAAATACTTAATTATTATATAGTGTGTGTGAGTACACTAGTGTTTTGAAGTTTAATTCAAAAATACTACATAAAATACTTTGGTAAAGCCAAGAAAATAAATGTCTGTGGTGAGATTAGCTTACGTGTTACTGAGTATTAATAAGCCACACGTGAACATTTATGCTTTTCATTCTAATTTGGAAGGAAAAAAAGATTGTATTAGAATAGGTCTTTTAAAGAATGAACTTTATGAAGTGTTAACCAATGGACCAAACTCATACACGAGTCGGGGCTTAGTATCTGCTGAAAATTGCAACGATTCCTTGGTTTGGTTAAACTTGAGGATCTGGCACAGATTCCCAACTTTCTTCATGCCAACCCATCCTCAGATACTCTGCAAACATGGAACGAGCTTGATGTAGAACCCTCTGAACGTTATGCTTTCTCACCATTTTGTCAAAGTACATGGCTAGTTCGTTGTAGTCCATGTTGTTCCTCATTATAGTATCACGATGCTGAAGCAAGAGGGTCAAACATAAAAACAACATAAATGGATTTCCCCCACCTAGTTCATCTGGTGGAGGTAACTGTGACTGCTTCATTCTCCCATTGAATTCCAAGGCATCTTCACATGAGTTTGTCATTACAGACTCAATCATCCCAGAGTCTAAAAATCCATTTTTTTCTACTTGATCACCATCTGCTTCCTCCTTTGAAGACACTGTACTTTCAGAACCATATCCATCACTATGGTTGTTGAAACTGACCCTGTACGCATTATCCACATACTCTCCATGTTGTCTTTCTGGAAAGGAGTCTGAACTGTCACTGTTGCAACGCTGACCTTCTGGGCCAGGGCTGTGAACAAGTCGGATGGGTATAACAGATTTTAGATGGCAAGAACACTGAAGTCCATTGTTACTATAGGATTCCTCATTCTCGAGGATTTCTCCATTGCAATGCTGGAAATTTAGCCGTGGTGTACTTTCTAAATGTTCAAATTCTAACTCTTGTGGAATAGAAGAAACTAGTTCTACATCACACTCACCATTCACTTCCAAGGTGTCTGATGACCTTGATTTTATACTGCAGAATCGATGAATTTGGTCTCCTCCTGATGACTGGTCATCACTGGTCAAACTATGAGTATCTTCGTCTATAGCAGGGCTATGTCGGCAGATGCTGCAAGAGTCACAAGAATTAGGATCGGGACTAATCTGTGAATGAGGTGAGTCCAGATCATCTGATTCAGTTGTAAACGACCGTTGAATTGGAGGTGTGGATCCTGGTAAATTGCGATTAAGATTTTCCAATTCCATACGCAACTCCCGTGTGATGGAAGTAGTCATTGGCAGATACTCCTGGGAGTCATCAGTGCTGCATTCTTCTTCCACCACATCTGGAATCTCAGTTGTTACCGGGTAAATTCCAGATTGTTCATTTCTGCAGCTAGAGTTTCCCAGGTTCTGGCTAGCAGCTGGTTCATGGTACTTCAGTCTGTGATGGTAGTCTTCTTCTTTCATTAACTTCATTCCAGAGACAGAACGTGAAGAATTTTGCTTACGAATGGCTCGCACTTTTGTGTATGGATTTTCTCGGCCATTCAGATGAGATGTGACTGGAAAGAACTCATCTTCAGACAATGGTAACTCTCCTTTTGGTGCTCCTGGAGGAAGAGAGCTCCATAATACCTCCAACATATGAAGTGCATCATCAAAGGCAAACTCTCGTTTTAGCTCAAGAAGCAACCACCGGTAACAAAAGAGAAGGTCGTCAGCACCCTGCAGTTGTAGATACTCAGAGAACTGAGGATCGTAATGTTGTAGTAGTTCTGATAAGTGCTGAAACTTCAAAGTCATTGCTTCACCATCTAGTGAGAAGTTTGGCTTGAGTCTTTGCATAAGGGCACAGAAACAAACATAGGCATGTGATTCATCCTTCATGGTTACCAAGATTGGAGAAGCAAGATCACTCATACCTTGACAATATGATACACTAGGGTGATTCACTGAATACGTTGTTAAAATGTTAAACAAGGAAACAACATTCTTGTTGTCATCAGATCCAGCATAAAACTTGTGAGTGCGATCAGTTCGAAGAACATCTTTTCGTACCATATTTGTTATGTGCTGCATGATATCATTTGTCTGTCCCGCTGCAATCATGTTCTGCCATGTGCTGCAGAGCCGAGAGTATTCCATACTCTTCTGTCTCATGTAATTTATCCTTTCCTTAGCTGTCAGGCCTTCGGAATAGACATTCAGTATGTGCTTCCAAACGACCTTTCTCAGAGATGGGTCTAGGCCACCTTGGTAGACAGAGAGACGAAGCTCCTTGGGTTGTACCAGTCTACCAGTACTGTCCAGGTAATTATGAAATTCTATATCCGTCATTGGCTGCTTTAATGGTTTAATATTTTCCAGAATTTGGTCACTTTCTCCAATGTTCAGAGCTCGCTGCACCATGTTGAATGTTTTCTCCACCTGAAATAATGATTATTAATAAAAATTAGTACAAAAATCATAATTCATTACAAAAATTTGCATGAGCTACTTCTAATACAAATAATATTTGTCAAACACAGCAGTATGATTACATATACAATGGAAGTATTAATTTCGTAAAAACATTAAAATATGAAGGAAAGAGATAAAAGTGGATATTTTTTCTAATATTATTGAGCAGAATATTCCATTTTATATATCCAAATAAGTCTAACTTTTCATATTTTCATCAGTTGTTTATATTAGTTACTTATCTAATGAAAATAGCTACATAACAGTGATAAACAGTAAAAACATGGATTGGTAGAAATGTAACTTGAATTCATATCCTAGGCCTACACTGATATAGCAATGCTGTGCCAACTATATTTTTGCTCAAACTCAATTCCTATGTAACAGTTACAGTTTGTTTTCAATAAGTAAGAACTACTTGTATGTGTTGCTTGAGTCACAATAAATTTACTAATACACATAAATAAATAAGCTTTTCTATCATCCCAATAGTCTGCCATCACAGAGCCTTACTGCACTCGCTAACCCTAAAAATTCTTACTTACGTCTTCTCATATATAAGAATATTTTTTAAACGAGACATAAAATTTCAGTACATCTCTCATTTAATCCCTCTTCTTGTCAATTCAATTTTCCAGGAATTTCTTTTGTAGAATTCACATTTTATTTGTAACTCATAGTAGCAAACTTTGTTATCTAATTCATCATATCAGATAAAATTCAACACTTTCAGCCATGTTTTTCTCATCCCGGTGTTTTTTACGATGTCCTGCTGGTGGGCTTCAGATAAGTCTACACATGCACATTGTGACTGCTGGACAAAGTTGTCCTCTTTATTTTCAATTTGCTCTTTATTTTAAATACAATTCATAGGCTGTATTCTGGATTGGATTCTCTCTTTCTGTGTTTTTATGAAACCAACTTTACATGCTTTATAGACAAGTACTTTAAAGTGTAGACAAAACATAAACTGGCCCACCTGATTTAGTATGGTCCCAGTAATAGATGTCTTGTCAACTGGACCAGTTATATGAGGTTGAGGAATGTCTCTTGGAGTAATGATATCCCAGTCTTCCAACCCTGAAAACAATAATTAAAAAAAAGATACATTCAAATCTTGATTATTTTACAAAAAACTCAAATCTTAATTTTGACAGGTTACAAAAACCAAATCCCAATTCAAAAATATGTTTTAACTGAATGTACACATGGTTGGTCCTTTTGACTACTGAATGTACACAGGGTTGGTCCTTTTGACTACTGAATGTACACATGGTTGGTCCTTTTGACTACTGAATGTACACATGGTTGGTCCTTTTGACTGACCCTCTTTTGTAGAAGTAATGTTGACTACGATTCTAAATTTATGAAGTGTATCTTCACCAAATGTAACAAGTCTGTTGTACACAGATGTACTAATATTGTTTTATACTAAAGATATGTCTGTGAAGTCAGTTTTACTACACAGATGTACTAATATTGTTTTGTACTAAAGATATGTCTGTGAAGTCAGTTTTACTACATACATGTACTAATAATGTTTGTACTAAAGATATATCTGTGAAGTCAGTTTTACTATACAGATGTATTAATATTGTTTGTACTAAAGATATGTCTGTGAAGTCAGTTTTAGTACATACATGTACTAATAGTTTGTACTAAAGATATGTCTGTGAAGTCAGTTTTACTACATACATGTACTAATATTGTTTTGTACTAAAGATATGTCTGTGAAGTCAGTTTTACTATACAGATGTACTAATAATGTTGAATAGCACTCTTTACAAGGTTGAGGCATGCATATTTTAACCCCACTTTATTTAGCTTGCATGAATCACTCTAAGCCAAGATGATCTATGACTGAACAACAGAAAAGTTTCAACTAGTAGCAGTCATTGACACATGTGGTAGTTTGGTCTTGGGACATTAAACTGCTCAAAACACAAACTTAAAGTCTTGTTATTCAAAAACATTTTAGTATCAACACACAAAGAAGTTAGTTAATATGTTTTTCTTCACTGAAACACAAGGACACTCTTAGTGTGTACTTTTGTTTGGAATATGTTGTGTATAAATGTACCTTTTAGTGACTACATTATGGTTCCAGCATGATTTTTTTTATAGATGGAGGTCAAATGCTCTCAAAATGTTACTTATAAACTTCTTGTTTGTAATAAATGTCATGTATTACAAGACTTACAATTCACTAAATCTAACGGTACCCATATCAGTATCAAAATAAAATTAATATTTATTAAATTTTGAGAAAATTAAAATATCTTTCAAGTCTTATTCCAACATTTTAGCTCACAAAAATAAACAAAAGTATGTAAACCACAATGGATTTCACCTTCTTCGAAAGGTTTGAGATCCACTTTTAATTGAAGAAAAGGGTCTGAAGAACCTAGAAAAGCTGCATCTAGGTCCCAGTCTGACAACAGAGCTAAATACGTCTGACAACCATCTTCATCTGGAGCCAGGTAGCTAATAGTAAACTCCCTTGAAAAATCAATAATTGGACAGTTAGACAAGTTTTAAAAACACAGGTATTTTAACATAAAGAGTTAGATTTACTTTACTCACTGTCCAAAAGAGATAGTTTCACATATTTTCAAAAACATAATAATTACTTTTAATGACTGTATGATTGTGATTATCAAGTGAAACAATA